AAAAAATTTATCGACAACGAACGTGCAGTGTATAATGTACGATTTTTCAACTCGCACAAATTTCTTAAACGTATTTCTTGACAAAATGAAAGGTTTCTAGTCTGATTTGCAATGTGCTCTTTGCGTCTAAAAACACTCTATTTTATACAAACAACTCAAAATGCTTAAAAAAATTTATCGACGACGAATGATTGTACAATATACCTACAATTTATCAACTCGCAAATCATTCTTAAACGTATATTTCTTGACAAAATGGTAGGTTTCTAGAAGCCAAGACTACATTGCAGATTAGACTTAAAGTGTGATTTGCAATGCGCTCTTTGCGTCTAAAAACACCCTATTTTATACAAGCAACTCAAAGCGTTTAAAAAGTGTATCGACAACGAACGATTGTGCAATGTACAATTTATCAATTCGCAAAGACTCCTTAAACGTATCTCTTGGCTAAAAAATGGAACGTTTCTAGGAGCAAAGAGCACGCTGTAGCAGACTCGCCCAGCAACCCTCGGCCGGATGCGACATTCGGTCAACGAGTCGCGGACCTCTCCGGCCTCCGCTCGCGGGACCCTCGCGCTACACATTTGCATATACGTACCGATAAATCGTGGGCAGTGGATAAGAATCGTCGTCCTCCATACTGCTGTTCGTGTTTGCGTTGTTGTTCGTATCGTTTCCCGCCGTCGAGGCATTGCCAAGGTTACACAGCATTAATCGCGACATCGCTGACGCCGTGTGCTCGCGGAACGTTTCAGTCTCGAATAAATTGGAGAACACCTTCGCGGAGGAGGGCGGGAGGACGCGGAGAGCACAGGCCGATATCACGGCGCGGACACGGTGCACACGTACTCGACTCCCAGCGTGGCGATCATGCCGTGTCGATCGGAGCGTGTGTTACTTCCTCTCTCTTTTTTTTTTACAATATCTCAAAAACTCGTGCGTCTCACCGAGCGGCCACCTCCGCCGTCTCGCCGCTCGCCCCGCGCTCTCTCACCTCGCTTCGACGACACCTCGGCGCGATCCTCGGCGCGCGGCGAACCAGCATCGCAATTTGTAATTTCAAATGTTACGTGTACAGGCTACGGTAGGATGGGATCGATCGATCGGCCGACGGATCGAATCAATCGCGCGATTATTCGCACGCACGAGATCGCGCGTATAGGCACTGATTAAACCTCCCTTCCTCTTGCTCTCCCGCCTCGGTTATGAAATCGCGCTTAGGCACCACTCTCGCTCCGAACGGAGGCGAACTTCACAGAGGTTTCTCAGCCACAATCCGCGTTCGGCGGGCAGCGGGGGGGTAGGGAAGCAGGGTTGACGCCACACAGTGGTTCCCTCGCGGGATCGAGACCGATCGGGATCGCGGTCGATATGAAGCTGGACGATATGTGGGCGACGGTCCACCCCGCCTCGGCCGGTCGGGCCGTCGTTGCCGCCGATGCCGGTGCGACGGGCGACGATCGGCGAACTGCGCGGCCTCACAGTCCCGCGCGTCTGCGATCCATCATCGTCGGCCGCCGGGCCCGCGATCGCGTCGGCATAATCGTGTGACGAGGGCGACCGGCGCTAACTCCGGACACCCGGGACGCGCGTGTCGCGGGTCACGTAACGCGCGCGGTGACGACGAGGGGCATTATCGGGAGACGGCCGCGGCTCGGACGCGGGCATAAGTGCCGCGCTCGCGGGGCGATCGTACGGCGCGGCGCGGCGCGGCAATAACGAGCTTTCATAAAGGAACACACGCAACTCTCGAACGGAACATCGGTAAAAATGGGGGAGAGAAAAAGAGAGAGAGAGAGAGAGAGAGAGAGAGAGAGAAGGAAGGAGAAAGAGAGAGAGAGAGAGGAAGAGGGAGAAAGAAAGGGCGAGAGAGAGGGAAAGAGACGGCGAGGGTCGTGCCCCCGACGTAGGCAACCCGCCGCGCACACCGCTCGACACCCGCTGCCGATTCCCACCTTGCTCCTCTTTCGCGGCGGCGGAGCGCGATGCAACCCCCGTGCGATCCTCCCCCCAAGCCCCGGCCGCCCCGCGCGCGACGGCGGCTACGCG